AGCAAACTAACCTAAAGAACCAGCACATAAAGTAATTTGCTTCAGCATCACTTACTGAAAATTTACTGTTTACATAAAATAGGTAATTGATATTTTGAAGGGTCTTAGGAGATATAGACAGACGTTTAAAAAGCAAGATGAGTATATAAAATCCCTAGGTGGGTTTGAAAATCTCTCCCTCTAGTAGCATCATCCACCTGGGATGGAGTCCTTGCTCTATTGGATTTGGAGTTTTGCTGTTGCATGCAGTGAAGTCAGGATGTCACATGATACTTAAGACAACTGGTTAAGTGCACATATATTTATCTGAAAAATATTGAACAGACTTACACTTCTATGCTTAGGAAGATATCATGTAGGATTGGATTGTATCTCCCGCATCATTAAATCTAGTCCTCTGCTATGCAGTAAACCATATTATAGTGGGCGTGTCTACACATTCATTAATGTGCTGTAGTTACTGTGCATAAAATTTAGTATTTGTATAATGGTGTACTAAATTAATGCGCAGGGACTGGCATTACTGTACAGTAGCATTGGCGCACACCTTTTTAGTGACAATGCTGCATATTAGCACCGTTTGTGCTGTGACGTGCTATTGTGCAGTATTAGGCTGCTGCGCAGTTAACAGCTCATGTAGACATGCCCAATATAATCCCATTCATAAATGTTTTATGCTCCACCTTGAGGCTAGTTGGAGTTTTGTAGTGGGTGCATCTATGCATGCTGTTAGTGTGAAGAAATAAACTCCTAGCTGATCCCGAGGTGCAGCATTTACACATGCATCCAGGACCACAGCACTTTGAGCTGAGACAGAGCAGCCCTAGGCTGTCAGGGGACCCTGAGAGTCAACCCCAGGCTCCAGGTGGTGGCATCACGGAATGGAGGGGTTGGCTGGGGCACAAGGGTGCTACAGTGAGAGGCTAGGCAGCAGGCAGCCCCCACAGTTTGGAACCCTCCTGCCCCAGCCAGCCCCTATCACCATCTACATGTGTGTTTCAGCAGAGTAAATTACTCCCCCATAGGTTAGCACCATCCCTGACTGTACTGTTCTATGGCACAGTTAATTAACCTACTGCTCCCTAATACTGATGCACCTGTAGACTATGATGCTTTACTGCAGAGCAAATTAGTCAACTCCTCAGTGAAGCGCACATGTAGATGCACCCACTAACTCCTAATGACAGACTGTTCCAAAGCCTTACTTCTCTAATGGGTAGAAAGCTTCTTCTGATTTCTATGCTAATGTTTTAAAGGGCCAGTTCATACTTTTGAAGACCAAATCATCGCCTCATGCAAGCACAGGTGTTGCCCTTCAATATATTTGGAACTGCTATGATCAGGAATAGATGGTGACTTAGCTACCTCCATCTTGACTCATGATAATGTATCTGTGTCAGAAAAGGTGCACTGTGATAGACCCAGCACAATTTAATGCTGCTTCAGAGTAATATAGACAGAGAGAAGACTGTGGGTCCCAGGCTACTACATGACATGCTGCTTTCTCAGAACAGACCTTATTATCACAATCTAGCTCTATCCTGTTATTACAGAGTGAGTGAGTGAGCTATAAAGAGATGTAGAATATCTGGTTTCTCATCAGTGTCCACTAAAAACCATATAGTGGTAACCATTACCAAAGCAGCTTTTCTCCTCACTGACCAAAGCAGAGTAACAACAGCACTATAGCCATTATTTCCTGAGTTAGGCAATATTAATGTATCCCAGAAATTATGATATGATAGCTGTGGGTAAATGCTAATGTTTTAACAGATCATGCAGCAGTTGCCAACAGAGACTAAAGCACTGTCTTTTTATATTATTCAGAAGTCCTTAAATGCACGAGAGAGGTCCAGTCATTTGTAGGATGAAATGCATTGGGAAGAAAGTTCACTTTGGAGTAGGAATATTTTAAGGGACCGAGTAGGCAGAAGGTTCCACCCAATACTGATTCTTTGCTTTTTCCATTTTGAAATAAAAATAATTCATTTTGAAAACATCCCTGTGACTTAAGCTGAACCAGCAAAACTGCAATGGGAAAATAATCAGAAATATTGAACCCCAATTGATAAATATACCTGTCTCCTACTGAATTCTGGATAATTAGCGATACCTTCATGTCCATAGAGCTGACTTGGCTATTCTAAGGATCACAGCCTCAAGTTCTCTAAGTAGCCTTTGGTGGTCTTCCAGAACCATCAGTTCCAGAAACTGAATTTCTTTGACACAGGGGTTGTCTTCATTTTCCCTTGACTGCCTCCCCCTTTTCTGTCAGTTTAGTATAGGCAGGCTTGTGATAATGGATACATTTCACAACTACACGTGTACCTAAAGCAGGTATTGCAAAACTAGTGTGAATACCCCTGCCACACGAGACTCCCCCTGGTGGCTGAGTTAACCCTTCAGTTATCTGAGATTTTTGTCCTAAAATTATGTTTTCTTGAAAAACGTGTGCTGTAAGAGAAAGAAGTGATGCCAGATTGACAGTCCCAAAATGGTAGCCATCCAGTTGTCCACAGAACTGATAAAAGTATTGGCTGTGGTACTGCATTTGTCTCCATAGCTGGTATGTAGGAAATGGAACAGAGACCTTTATTTTCTTGGGAAAAATCCCATTTTATGACTAGATCTAATGAGTTCTAGTCAGAAAACGGGACTTTTCCAAAGAATTTTTTTGCCAAAAAAAAAACAAAAAAGAAAAATCTTTAAAAATTGACTTCACTCTGCTTGTAAAGGGAGGCAGTTGTATAATTAAGAGTTCATGGTCACAAAAGTTTCAACAAGAAGTGTTGTCTGGCTGGGAAGCTTGATCTATTAAGCAGAATGGGGAATTGTAGAAACTGAACTACAACTTCCATGAGACACTATGGCAAAATATCCAAATCTAAATATTTTTAGGAAGGAAACTTTGGGGGTTTTTTCAGTAGAAAGAAGGTATTTTTTATGATAAATTTTGTTTATTCAGAAATCCAATTTTCTGTAGAAAATTGTTTTGATAGAAAATTATTAACTGTTCCTATCAGTCAGTCCTATAACACAAGTCCACAAATCACCATCAGATAGTAGCTATTAATAGTTGGTACCAGTTTTGAATTGGTTACTGGCAATGAATGTATTGTTATTCCCTGATCTGTCTAATCCGGTATAAAATAGTATGGTAATTAATTAGATATTTGATTATACTTCAGGCATTTAGAAGCTCAAATGTTTGGGGGGAAATGGAATATTTGAAATTCTATAACCAATTTTTACTATTTTCCTAAATATAGAATGGTGATTCCATTCTTGCCACTGAATTATTTTGCTAAACAAAAAAAAAAAGATATTTGAGGCAAACATTTAAGATAGAGAAGGATGCCAAGTGTAAAGAATGTGCAGAAAGGTGTTATGTCTACACACAGAGCCAATCCACAAAACGGGTAGTCACTAAAAGAGCCAAGATAAACAAGACTATGTTGAAGCTAACTTAGTCCCCCAGAACCATCATGAGTGCGTTTATATATTATTGGAGCCAAGTGAACTTTAACTGTGTCTTATTTAACTTGGCCATTTACATGGCTAACCTTTTTTGTAAGTTGGCTCTGTTTGTAGCTATCACACCTTTTGATTACTGACCTTTTCTTGCCTAACTCTGGATTTTTAATCTATATTAAATATTTTTATCTTGTTTAATTTCCTTGATGTTTTTCTTACTGTAGCAAATATTACAGAAACTATTTTATGATAGAAGGCACATTTTTTTATTAGAAAATTCCTTAGCCTCTTAAAGCCAATAGCTTAGACATCTATATGACTGGTAACACCTGACTTTTTCCACAGGATGTTGGTGAAGGAAAAGCTTTTATTGAAATAAATGTTCACGTTTCATTGAAAGATCTTGTGCAGATGTAAGTTCACTGCACAGTCTTCATCAAAAGCTTAGTTAAAAGGTAATGAGATAATAACTAAAAACAGTATTTTTCCCTGTTTTCTGTTTATCATCTTTTTATGTAGGATCTAAAAAGTCAGCAATTCTGAAAAGACTGTGTACTTCTCAGACTAACACAGATATATTGAAAATGTGCACCATTTAGCATTGGGCTTTGTGATGGCTTGAGATAGAAGTGTTTCTATAACTTGTAATGGAAGTGGTGTAATTTCCAGGAAGTGGAGACTTGTCACGAGTACTGTGGATTCAGTTGCTGAGTGCCTAATATTATCTGTATAATCAGTGGCATGTGGAATTTTGGGACCGGACCCTGTTTCAATAAAACACAATTGAAAGACTCCCATTTAGTTCAGTGGATCAGGTCTTTCATGAAGAGAATGAGAAATATGTTTTTCAGGATGCTATTGTTTTCATCCAGAATTTTGGACTAGTGGAAGTTGGTTTTTCCCAGTAGTTAAATCTGAAGCTAAATTTCCATTACAAGCTCATGGAACTGTTGTGTAGATCTCAAAATGAGTAGACTTTATTATTCCGCTTGATAAGAATGTGGTGGACTCAGAACAATTCCCATTAGAGCGAGTTCTATGGTAAAACATTCTCTGTAGCTGTAGTAACTTTTTTGGCAGCTTTTTATGAGTAATTCACCACTGACCACTTGTGCCTGTGGGTTATAAATCCCTAAACACCCAAATCTCATGCATACAGTAAGAGTTATATTGTCATGGTACTCATAAAAGTCACATACCCTTTGATTTTCTAAGTTTATTTTACTTACTAATTTATTATCATCATTAATCATTCTCTAATTTATATCATAGCTAAGATTTCAAAAGCAATTGTCCTGGTGAAACAGCCTCCATGAGAGGGAATTCCACTGCACTTGGCGTAGGTTATTCTTTTTTTTTTTT